AAAAATGTAGGAAATACTTTAGTTATTGTAGCAATGGTGGTACGGGCTATTTGAGAAGACATCTGCTCAAACATGAGCAAGAGGAAGATGAAGGGAGAGAAACAACCCAAACACAGATTGGGAGGCGGACTAGTTTTGGTACTTTTAAATGTTCACAAGAAAAAATGGGACAAGAACTTGCTAAGTATATTGTACATGCAAAACAACCATTTATATTAGCTAAAGATCCAAAGCTAGAAAAATGGTTGTGTACTTCTGTAAACCCACAATATAAAAAATTTTCTAGGAATACTATAAGAACTGATGCTTTAAAAATTTTTTATTAATAGAAAGAAAATTTATTTTCTTTGTTAGCAAATCTTAATTCTAAAGTTGCAATTATTTTAGATGTTTGGACATCCAAATTTAATATTAGTTATATTTGTGTTACCGGCCATTTCATTGATAAAATTTGGCTTTGGAATAAAAGAATTTTAAGTTTTACTAGGCTTGAATGGCCACATAGTGGCCTAGCTATTGCTGCAAGTATTTTAAATACTTTGCATGCTTATGGAATAGAAAACAAATTGTTTTCTATTAGTTTTGATAATGCTAGCAATAATGATTCTGCAATAAATATTTTAAAATCTCAATTAAAACCATGCTTAAATGTTAAATTATTTCATATTAGATGTGCATGTCGCATCTTAAATTTATGTATTCAAGATGCCTTGAATATTATTTCAAATCATATTTCAAAAATTAGAAATTGTTTTATATATATAAAAAGTTCAGGGGCAAGAAAACAAGAATTTAAATATTTTTGCCAAAATTATGGTTTAAAATATAAACATTTTATATTAGATGTAAAGCATAGGTGAAATTCTACCTATGCTATGTCAGAAAGTTGTATATCTCATAAACAAATTCTTTCTGATTTTTATAATTTAAAAATGCCTAATGATATGATATTCGAGGAAGACTGGGAAATGGCAGTCTAGATAAGAGATTTTTTAAAACATTTTTATGATGTAACAAATGAATTATCTAGAATTTATTATCCAACTAGTTGTAATTTCCCATATCAATTAATGGTAATTAGTGATTGTTTTGCCAAATATAGAAATAAATCCACAATTTCAATGTATTGTTAAAATTATGGAAAATAATTTTAAAAAATATTGGGAGAACATTTCTCCCCTTTATTGTTTAACTACAATATTAGACCCTAGGGTTAGGAAAGATGGTTTAGATATTTTACTTGAAACATATTATGAAAATATGAATATTGATATAGGAAATAAAAAAGAAGAAATTAAGAAGTTATTATTTGAAATGTACAGTTTGTATGAATCTGAAGTTGTACGGAATATTCCTACAACTTGTTCATCTTCTTCTTCTCCTTTTAACTTTGAGCCCAGTAGTAGAAGAGAAAAGCTTTTTTATTTAATAAGTAGAACGTAGAAATCTGCTAGTTCTACAACAAGTTTATTTACTAAACTTAATTTTTATTTGCAAGCAAATTTTTCTAATTTAGGTGAAGTATCAAATAATTTTGATATTTTAGCTTGGTGGCGTGAACACTTGAAAAATTATCCGGTTCTCGCCACCATGGCACACAATCTACTAACCCCTCTAGTGTCTACAATTCCATCGGAGTCTTGTTTTAGTGCATGTATCAGGGTTTTGGATGACAAAAGAAGCTGAATGAACGTAGAGAACATAGAGATGTGCATCTGCTTCAAGGATTGGCTAGATGCAGAAGATAGATTACAAGACAAGGAAGGGCATGATACAACACCGGACATTTCACCCGAAGCAGATGATGAAAGTCATGAATGATGATTCATGAATTTGACTACTTGTAGAATTTTTCATTTTTTCAAATTATTGTAAAA